TGTCAATGATGGGATCAAACGGTATGGTATGGTAATAAGCAAAACAGAATATTAATTTTGCACGTACTGTCCTACCACTGAGAAAGTTGCATTGTTGGAGAAGATTACTGAGTGGTTAGGGAATACGAGTTATCAGAAGACTCTTCTTTATATCGAGTAGTTTGCGCTGACATACCAAAGTGGTTAAACTACAATGATGATATCAGTATTTTATTATACCTTAGCTATTTTATGCATAAAATTTCAACTTCTGACAACCATTTCAATTTTACTGTATACAAATTGCTGCAAAATTTAAAATGGTTAATTTTTTCAGGAAATGGAAGTCAAATTTTCAATAGTTTGTCAGCTTGGCTCAAATCCACCAAATCCGGTAAACCTGAAAAATTTCTTGCGTCTTTTTTTCAAGTTTTGGAAGACTATTTGCGAAGTGCCGCTCGTTTGATACGTTTATTTCTGATCTAACATTTACTTATAAAACGATAAAATACAGTACATTTCTGTTATATATAGCCTAATTAGCAACTAACTTTTAACTCTTACTATTATTACTATGAGAAATGATGGTATTATTATTATATTAAAATATTAAATAATTTTTGTAGATAATGGAATTCTTGATGGTAATACATTTATTACAAAACCGAATAATGATAAATGTCTAAATGATGGTTTAATCAATACGCAATCAATAAGTGATGGTGAAACTTCAGCATCTTCAGCACCATATTTTTTACGAAATCGAGCATATCACAATTATCGAACACCTATATTTAAGGTTATTTGAATAACAGTAAATTTAATTTCAATTTAATTATAGCATATTAAGCTTAACGCTGCTACGTTAGACTATTTGTTGCGTACGTGGAATTATTTTAAAATAGCTAACAAAATCAAACTAGCAAATTTTCCGATTTAATTCATGTATGGTTATCTAAGCTATTTGATGCTAAGTAGCTAAGATAACAAGTGATCATACTTTACAAATTAACATCAACCTTATGGTGACAGTAATTATTCCGATGGTTAGTTCGCTAATCAAACTTACAAAATCTTGTAAATTAACCTTTTTCGTTTACATTCATTTAATATTATTAGTAAACTATAAGGTAAATTTAATGATTAATAAACAATAAATATGATGATGAGCAATTCGTTTGCATTAACAATTGACTAAAGCCACGCAAACGAAAAACCGAAAATTTCCATAACAATGCCACAAAATGCAAACAGAGTTATTCAGTACGGTACGGATTAAATATTCCTTTAACCAATAACATTTAATACCAATAATCCGCCACTTTCAATTCATGCAAGTTTTCTCATTCTCCGTGACGTCGAAACTTTCAACCTTTCACTATTTCTAGTAGGCTTCACTACTTCTAGCAGTCCAAAAGCGTATTCATCGACTGCTGGTTCAGAGATCGAAAAAAAGAATGCGAGAGAGAGGAATATAAAAAATAATGTGAAACGTATAAATTAAAAACTGTCTGAACCTTTGGTCATTTAATTCCAACCAATCTGAAATTAAAAGCTTCCATTCGAGCTTTTTTGCCATTTTAACAATTCCGTACATCGCCTTGTTCTTCACTATATCGATGGCGTACATCATTTGGTTCAACCTTCTGTTATGCATCGCTTCAGTTCTGAATACTCCAGGTGAC